ACTGGATGCCCCCAATAAAATGGATCTGCCCCTGGATCGCTCTGTGGGGGGATCCCGGTGGGATTTGGGGAGCAGCAGGGATGGGGAGGGACAGGATCAAACAATCCCCCGGGATTGTTTCCTTGGGATCACCACCCAGTTTTCCAATACCTGGGACGGCCCCGAGGCTGCTTTTTCCCACTTATGGGTTCAGGATGTCCCCAAACCCCGGGAAAACAGATCCAAGGATTCAACTCTACCTTATTTGGGACCCCTGGGCGTGTGTGGGGGGTCCCCAATCCTCGTATCCCCCCAAATTTTCCAGCATCCAGGAACGACCCCCAGGCTGCTTTATTCCCACTTCTTTCCCCCCATGAACACCCCAAAAACCTCAGGGAAGCAGCTCCAAGGATCCAACTCTACCTTTATTGTCAAGTTTGGGACCCCCGGGACGGGCTGGGGGGTGGTCCCGGCAGCAGGAGGGAGAGGAGGGGAGTGGGGGGAGGCACAGCAACGGCGACAATTCCCGCCGGGAACGGGGCTGGAAGGGCTGCGGAGCCGCGGGATGGCCCGGCTACTCTCTGCGGGGTGGAGGAGAGCGGGGAGTGAGCCCGGTGGGACACCCCCCACACACCACATTCCCGGTTTTTGGGGGGTCTCCCGGGGCTCACATGGAGTTCTCCTTGTAGTGCCGGAGCGCCTGCTGGGCCACGAGCTCCATGAATTTGGGATCGTCCCACGGGATGTGCCCCGGCACCGTCAGAGACAGCGGCTCCGAGTCGAAGAGCTGGACGGTCACCTGAGTGTCCGGGGGGGCCGAGGGGTCCGAGGGATTCGGGGCCTTGGACAGCACCTGGGGAGAGGGAGAGGGAGAGGGGTGGGGTGGGAGCTACGGGATGGGAGATCCAGGATGGGAGCTCTGGAATGGGAGATCTGGGATGGGAACTCTGGGATGGGAACTGTGGAATGGGAGCTCCGGGATGGGAACTCTGGGATGGGAACTGTGGAATGGGAGATCCAGGATGGGAACTGTGGGATGGGAGATCCAGGATGGGAACTCTGGAATGGGAGATCTGGGATGGGAACTCTGGGATGGGAACTGTGGAATGGGAGCTCCGGGATGGGAGCTCTGGAATGGGAGATCCAGGATGGGAGCTCTGGGATGGGAGATCCAGGATGGGAGCTTGGGATGGGAACTGTGGGATGGGAGCTCTGGGATGGGAGATCTGGGATGGGAGATCTGGGATGGGAGCTCTGGGATGGGAGATCCAAGATGGGAGCTCTGGAATGGGAGCTCTGGGATGGGAGATCCAAGATGGGAGCTCCAAGATGGGAGCTCTGGAATGGGAGCTCCAGGATGGGAGCTTTGGAATGAGATCTCTGGGATGAGAGATCTGGGATGGGAGCTCTGGGATGGGAGATNATGGGAGATCCAGGATGGGAGCTCCGGGATGGGAGATCCGGGATTGGAACTGTGGGATGGGAGTTCTGGGGTGGGAGCTCTGGAATGGGAGATCCAGGATGGGAGATCTGGGATGGGAGATCTGGGATGGGAACTCTGGAATGGGAGATCCAGGACGGGAACTGTGGGATGGGAGCTCTGGGATGGGAGTTCCAGGATGGGAGCTCCGGAATGGGAGCTCTGGGATGGGAGTTTTGGGATGAGAGCTGTGGGATGGGAACTGTGGGATGAGAGTTCTGGGATGGGAGCTCTGGGGTGGGATCTCTGGGATGGGAACTCTGGAATGGGAACTCTGGGATGGGAACTCTGGGATGGGAACTCTGGGATGGGAACTCTGGGATGGGAGCTCCAGGATGGGAGCTTTGGAATGAGATCTCTGGGATGAGAGATCTGGGATGGGAGCTCTGGGATGGGAACTCTGGGATGGGAACTGTGGAATGGGAGCTCCGGGATGGGAGCTCTGGAATGGGAGATCCAGGATGGGAGTTCCAGGATGGGAGATCCAGGATGGGAGCTCTGGGATGGGAGTTTGGAATGGGAGCTCTGGGATGGGAGATCCAAGATGGGAGCTCTGGGATGGGAGTTCTGGGATGGGAGATCCAGGATGGGAGCTCCGGAATGGAAGCTCTGGGATGGGAACTCTGGAATGGGAGATCCAGGATGGGAACTGTGGGATGGGAGCTCTGGGATGGGAGTTCTGGGATGGGAGATCCAAGATGGGAGATCCAAGATGGGAACTCTGGGATGGGAGCTCTGGGATGGGAGTTCCGGGATGGGAACTGTGGGATGGGAACTGTGGGATGGGAGTTCTGGAAAAGGAGTTCTGGGATGGGAGCTTCAGGATGGGAGTTCTGGGATGGGAGATCTGGGATGGGAGCTCTGGGATGGGAGTTCTGGGATGGGAGATCTGGAATGGGAGATCCAGGATGGGAGTTCCAGGATGGGAGATCCAGGATGGGAGCTCTGGGATGGGAGTTATGGGATGGGAGATCTGGGATGGGAACTCTGGGATGGGAGATCCAAGATGGGAGATCCAGGATGGGAGCTCTGGGATGGGAGCTCTGGGATGGGAGCTCCGGGATGGGAGCTCTGGGATGGGTGTTCTGGAAAAGGAGTTCTGGGATGGGAGCTTCAGGATGGGAGTTCTGGGATGGGAGATCTGGGATGGGAGTTCTGGGACGGGAGCTCTGGGATGGGAGATCCAGGATGGGAGTTCTTGGATGGGAGTCCTGGGATGGGCCCGGAATCCCACGGGGGGGCCCCCACCTTGGATCAGTGCCCGGATCCCGCGGGAGACGTTCCCGGCGGGAGCACAATCGGCCCTTTCTGACC